GGGGATTTTGGGGAATTTTGGGGGTTTTTGGGGGGGATTTTGGGGTCGATTTGGGGTCGATTTGGGGGCTTTTGGGGATTTTTGGGGGGTTTTGGGGTCGATTTGGGGGATTTTGGGGGTTTTTGGGGGATTTTGGGGGATTTTGGGGGGTTTTGGGGGTCACAGTGCTTTGGGGCTCTCACAGTGAATTTTGGGGAGGGGCTTTCGGGATTTTTGGTATCACTCGGGGGGAATTCGGGGTTTTTGGGACGGGTTTTGAGCCCTCCCAGGTGCGCTTTGCGATTCCAGATGTTTCCAGATGTCTCCAGCCGTTTCCAGCTGTTCTCAGCTCCTTTCCTGCTCATTTTGGGGCGTTTTGGGCAATTCCTGGGGTGGTTTTTTTTTTTTTCCCCCAAGGTTTTCAGCCTCTCCTGGATTTTTTTGGGGCGGTTCCCAGATGTTTCCCAGATGTTCTCGGGTGGATTTCGGGTGTTTCCGGTCGGTTTTGAGGTGTTTTCCCAGATTTTGGGGGGGTTCCCAGCCCTTTTCCAGATGTTTCTCGCCGTTTTTTAAACCTTTTCTGGGGATTTTGGGTGGTTTTGAGGGGATTTGGGTGGATTTTGGGGGTATTTGAGCCGTTTCCAGCTGTTTCCTCAGCGTTTCCAGCCCATTTCCAGATGTTCTCGGGTGTTTTTTCAGCGTTTTTTGGCCGATTTGGGGCATTTTTGGCCGTTTCCAGCTGTTTTCCAGCTGTTTCCCAGCTGCTTTCCGATGTTTTTGGGTGGTTCTGGCGGGTTTTTTTGGGTTTTTGGGTGGGTCCGGGGTTTTCAGTAATTTCGGGGGTTTTTTTTGGGTGTTTCCAGCTGTTTTTCAGGTGTTTTGGGCTGTTTTTGCCATTTCTGGCAGGGTTTTAGGGTATTTTGGGGTGTTCCCAGCTGTTTTCCAGGTGTTTCCCCAGCGTTTCCACCTGTTTTCCAGGTGTTCTCAGGTGTATTTCAGTGTTTCCAGCCGATCTGGGGGATTCTGGGGGGATTTTGGGTGTTCCCAGCTGTTTTCCAGGTGTCCTCAGATTTTTTCATGTTTTTGGCTGGGTTTGGGTGTAGTTTTTGGTGTTTCCAGCCAGTTTTGGGGTCTTTTTGGGTGTTCCAAACAGTTTTGGGGTATTTTGGGGGATTTGGGGGTGTTTTAGGGTATTTTGGGGTGGGTTTTGGTGTATTTTCAGGATTAGGGCAGGTTTCGGGGTGTTTTGGGTTGTTTTGGGGGTGTTTTTGGACAGTTCTGGGGTGTTTTGGGCTGTTTTTGGGGTGTTTCGGGCTGTTTCTGGGCCGTTTTTGCGTTCTGGGCTGTTTTGGGGTGTTTTAGGGGTGTTTTGGGTTGGTTTTGGTTGGTTTTGGGTTTTTCCAGACAGTTTTTGGGGTGTTTTTGGGGTATTTTCGGAGTGTTTCTGGGCTGGTTTTTGGGGTGTTTCCAGGCAGTTTTAGGGGTGTTTTCAGACTGTTTTTGGGTTGTTTTCAGCCAGTTTTTGGGGTGTTTTTGGGGTGTTTTCAGGCAGCTTTTGGGCTGGTTTTGGGGTGTTTTCAGCCAGATTTGGGGTGTTTCTGGGCTGTTTCCAGGCAGTTTTGGGGGTGTTTTCGGGCTGTTTTCGGGATGTTTTCAGGCAGTTTTTGGGGTATTTTCGGGCTGTTTTCGGGGTGTTTTCAGGCAGTTTTTGTGGTGTTTTTGGGGTGTTTCCAGGCAATTTTT